CTCCCTCCCTGATCATCTGTACTCACCCTGTCACAGAAGATGCTGGCACCATGGTCGGTGGCACAGTTAGCTATGGCCAGAGACACACCTCCCTCCAAGATCATCTGTACTTACTCTGTCACAGAAGATACTGGCATCATGGTCGGTGGCACAGTTAGCTATGGCCTGAGAGACACCTCCCTCCATCCCTGATCATCTGTACGCACCCTGTCACAGAAGATGCTGGCACCATGGTCGGTGGCACAGTTAGCTATGGCCTGAGACACACCTCCCTCCCTCCCTCCCTGATCATCTGTACTTACTCTGTCACAGAAGATGCTGGCACCATGGTCGGTGGCACAGTTAGCTATGGCCTGAGACTCACCTCCCCCACTCCCTGATCATCTGTACTCACCCTGTCACAGAAGATGCTGGCACCATGGTCGGTGGCACAGTTAGCTATGGCCTGAGACACACCTCCCTCCCTCCCTCCCTGAACATCTGTACTCACCCTGTCACAAAAGATGGTGCAACCATGGTCAGTGGCACATTTAGCTATGGCCTGAGACACACCTCCCTCCCTCCCTCCCTCCCTCCCTGATCATCTGTACTCTTCCTGTCAAAGAAGATGCTGGCACCATGGTCGGTGGCACAGTTAGCTATGGCCTGAGACACACCTCCCTCCCTCCCTGATCATCTGTACTCACCCTGTCACAGAAGATGATGGCACGATGGTCTGTGGCACAGTTAGCTATGGCCTGTGACACACGTCCCTCCCTCCCTTATCATCTGTACTCACCCTGTCACAGAAGATGCTGACATCATGGTTAGTGGCACAGTTAGCTATGGCCGGAGATACACCTCCTATTCCTCCCTTCCTGATCATCTGTACTCACCCTGTCACAGAAGATGCTGGCACCATGGTCGGTGGCACAGTTAGCTATGGCCTGAGACACACCTCCCTCCAAGATCATCTGTACTCACCCTGTCACAGAAGATGCTGGCACCATGGTCGGTGGCACAGTTAGCTATTGCCTGAGACACATCTCCCTCCCTCACTGATCATCTGTACTCACCCTGTCACAGAAGATGCTGGCACCATGGTCGGTGGCACAGTTAGCTCTGGCCTGAGACACACCTCCCTCCCTCCCTGATCATCTGTACTCACCCTGTCACAGAAGATGCTGGCACCATGGTCGGTGGCACAGTTAGCTATGGCCTGAGAGACACCTCCCTCCATCCCTGATCATCTGTACGCACCCTGTCACAGAAGATGCTGGCACCATGGTCGGTGGCACAGTTAGCTATGGCCTGAGACACACCTCCCTCCCTCCCTCCCTGATCATCTGTACTTACTCTGTCACAGAAGATGCTGGCACAATGGTCGGTGGCACAGTTAGCTATGGCCTGAGACTCACCTCCCCCACTCCCTGATCATCTGTACTCACCCTGTCACAGAAGATGCTGGCACCATGGTCGGTGGCACAGTTAGCTATGGCCTGAGACACACCTCCCTCCCTCCCTCCCTGAACATCTGTACTCACCCTGTCACAAAAGATGGTGCAACCATGGTCAGTGGCACATTTAGCTATGGCCTGAGACACACCTCCCTCCCTCCCTCCCTCCCTCCCTGATCATCTGTACTCTTCCTGTCAAAGAAGATGCTGGCACCATGGTCGGTGGCACAGTTAGCTATGGCCTGAGACACACCTCCCTCCCTCCCTGATCATCTGTACTCACCCTGTCACAGAAGATGATGGCACGATGGTCTGTGGCACAGTTAGCTATGGCCTGTGACACACGTCCCTCCCTCCCTTATCATCTGTACTCACCCTGTCACAGAAGATGCTGACATCATGGTTAGTGGCACAGTTAGCTATGGCCGGAGATACACCTCCTATTCCTCCCTTCCTGATCATCTGTACTCACCCTGTCACAGAAGATGCTGGCACCATGGTCGGTGGCACAGTTAGCTATGGCCTGAGACACATCTCCCTCCATCCCTGATCATCTGTAGTCATCCTGTCTCAGAAGATGCTGGCACAATGGTCGGTGGCACAGTTAGCTATGGCCTGAGACACATCTCCCTCCCTCCCTGATCATCTGTACTCTTCCTGTCACAGAAGATGCTGGCACCATGGTCGGTGGCACAGTTAGCTATGGCCTGAGACACAACTCCCTCCCTCCCTCCCTGATCATCTGTACTTACTCTGTCACCGAAGATGCTGGCACCATGGTCAGTGGCACAGTTAGCTATAGCCTGAGACACACCTCCCTCCCTCCTGGATCATCTGTAGTCATCCTGTCACAAAAGATGCTAGCAACATGGTCGGTGGCACAGTTAGCCATGGCCTGAGACACACCTCCCTCCCTCCCTCCCTCCCTGATTATATGTTCTCATCCTGTCACAGAAGATGCTGGCACCATGGACGGAGGCACAGTTACCTATCGCCAGAGACACATCTTCCTACCTCCCTCCCTCCCTCCCTTCCTAACTGATCATCTGTACTTACTCTGTCACAGAAGATGCTGGCACCATGGTCAGTGGAACAGTTACCTATGGCCAGAGACACACCTCCCTCCCTCCCTCCCTGATCATCTGTACTTACCCTGTCACAGAAGATGCTGGCACCATGGTCAGTGGCACAATTAGCTATGGCCTGAGACACACCTCTGTACTTGATCATCTGTACTTACTCTGTCACAGAAGATGCTGGCACCATTGTCAGTGGCACAGTTAGCTATGGCCTGAGACACACCTCCGTAACTGATCATCTGTACTTACTCTGTCACAGAAGATGCTGGCACCATGGTCGGTGGCACAATTAGCTATGGCCTGAGACACACCTCCCTCCCACCCTGATCATCTGTACTCACCCTGTCACAGAAGATGCTGGCACCATGGTCGGTGGCACAGTTAGCTATGGCCTGAGACACACCTCCCTCCCTCCCTCCCTGATCATCTGTACTCACCCTGTCACAGAAGATGCTGGCACCATGGTCGGTGGCACAGTTAGCTCTGGCCTGAGACACACCTCCCTCCCTCCCTGATCATCTGTACTCACCCTGTCACAAAAGATGCTGGCACCATGGTCGGTGGCACAGTTAGCTATGGCCTGAGACACACCTCCCTCCCTCCCTGATCATTTGTACTCACCCTGTCACAGAAGATGCTGGCACCATGGTCAGTGGCACAGTTAGCTCTGGCCTGAGACACACCTCCCTCCCTCCCTGATCATCTGTACTCACCCTGTCACAAAAGATGCTGGCACCATGGTCGGTGACACAGTTAGCTATGGCCTGAGACACACCTCCCTCCCTCCCTGATCATCTGTACTCTTCCTGTCACAGAAGATGCTGGCACCATGGTCCGTGGCACAGTTAGCTATGGCCTGAGACACACCTCCCTCCCTCCCTCCCTGATCATCTGTACTTACTCTGTCACAGAAGATGCTGGCACCATGGTCGGTGGCACAGTTAGCTATGGCCTGAGACTCACCTCCCCCACTCCCTGAGCATCTGTACTCACCCTGTCACAGAAGATGCTGGCACCATGGTCGGTGGCACAGTTAGCTATGGCCTGAGACACACCTCCCTCCCTCCCTCCCTGAACATCTGTACTCACCCTGTCACAAAAGATGGTGCAACCATGGTCAGTGGCACATTTAGCTATGGCCTGAGACACACCTCCCTCCCTCCCTCCCTCCCTCCCTGATCATCTGTACTCTTCCTGTCAAAGAAGATGCTGGCACCATGGTCGGTGGCACAATTAGCTATGGCCTGAGACACACCTCCCTCCCTCCCTGATCATCTGTACTCACCCTGTCACAAAAGATGCTGGCACCATGGTCGGTGGCACAGTTAGCTATGGCCTGAGACACACCTCCCTCTCTCCCTGATCATCTGTACTCACCCTGTCACAAAAGATGCTGGCACCATGGTCGGTGGCACAGTTAGCTATGGCCTGAGACACACCTCCCTCCCTCCCTGATCATCTGTACTCACCCTGTCACAGAAGATGCTGGCACCATGGTCGGTGGCACAGTTAGCTATGGCCTGAGACACACCTCCCTCCCTCCCTGATCATCTGTACTCTTCCTGTCACAGAAGATGCTGGCACCATGGTCGGTGGCACAGTTAGCTATGGCCTGAGACACACCTCCCTCCCTCCCTCCCTCCCTCCCTGATCATCTATACTTACTCTGTCACAGAAGATGCTGGCACCATGGTCGGTGGCACAGTTAGCTATGGCCTGAGACACACCTCCCTCTCTCCCTGATCATCTGTACGCACCCTGTCACAGAAGATGCTGGCACCATGGTCGGTGGCACAGTTAGCTATAGCCTGAGACACTACTCCCTCCCTCCTTGATCATCTGTAGTCATCCTGTCACAAAAGATGCTAGCAACATGGTCGGTGGCACAGTTAGCTATGGCCTGAGAGACACCTCCGTAACTGATCATCTGTACTTACTCTGTCACAGAAGATGCTGGCACCATGGTCGGTGGCACAAGTAGCTATGGCCTGAGATACACCTCCCTCCCTTCCTGATCATCTGTACTCACACTGCCACAGAAGATGCTGGCACCATGGTCGGTGGCACTGTTAGCTATGGCCTGAGACTCACCTCCCCCACTCCCTGATCATCTGTACTTACTCTGTCACAGAAGATGCTGGCACCATGGTCGGTGGCACAGTTAGCTATAGCCTGAGACACTACTCCCTCCCTCCTTGATCATCTGTAGTCATCCTGTCACAAAAGATGCTAGCAACATGGTCGGTGGCACAGTTAGCTATGGCCTGAGAGACACCTCCGTAACTGATCATCTGTACTTACTCTGTCACAGAAGATGCTGGCACCATGGTCGGTGGCACAAGTAGCTATGGCCTGAGATACACCTCCCTCCCTTCCTGATCATCTGTACTCACACTGCCACAGAAGATGCTGGCACCATGGTCGGTGGCACTGTTAGCTATGGCCTGAGACTCACCTCCCCCACTCCCTGATCATCTGTACTTACTCTGTCACAGAAGATGCTGGCACCATGGTCGGTGGCACAATTAGCTATGGCCTGAGACACACCTCCCATTCCTCCCTCCACATAGCCCCAGGCTCCCTTGATTCCTTCCAGCTCTCCCATGACATGGTGGAGTAGCACATACCTAGCAACACACATCATGTAACATCAGGAATATGGCACATGGCCACCTGTTGCATAAGGACATGTAAATCCTGGATTAAAGGGAGTGGCCAGTTGTGAAAATTTAAGGGAGCAGATCTTGCCATTTTAGATAAACAACTAGTTTGAAATGAGCTTCTGACTGGATGGATTTGACCAAGATGTCTAATCCTGATGAACAACTTATAAATAGAAATGATGGTTTATCTCACCTTCAACATAATGTCAAATTTAGACATCTCCTGCACAACTGGCACAGACTGTACGGACAAACACAAATACCATGTATGTGTTCAACATCCTTGTTCTTCAGCGGTAGAATGAATCTTAACATGTTCATCTGCTTATGAAAACAAATATTGACAAATCTCTGCCAGCTTTGATACCAGCATTTGCAGAAGAAGAAACCTCACCCACTGCCTGGAGAATCTGGTGTCAACATCGCCCCTATCACAGAATCCGTGGCAAGTGTTGCCTTCAGGGGCTCCGATTCAAACCAGCGGTCCAATATCTGATAGTGACAATTGATATGAAACATCAATGCAGCTGGGGATCTACCTTCTATCGGTATGAGCATTACTATTAAGGAAACATGTTGTTGAAGGAGTATCTTAAGATGTAGGCTGATAAACTGACCTTCTGGGCTGGTGCAGTCATAAATTCATAGAAGTCGGTAAGTTCTGGACCTAAAGATTTCACTGAAAAATATCATGATCAACAGTTACAACTCCTGAATACAAAACAACACTTGATGGTGGGCTGTCTTGCTGTAGAAACAGCTCTTATTCATGGTAAGCTGTTAAGATAACTTTCTCAAGAGAATGCTTTTGCTGAGGTAGGTGTCTAACTAAAAAGCTGTACAGTCAGCTTTTATGGACGGTAGGCAGTTTAACTAGGATGCTGTGGAGAAAGCTCTTACTGATGGTAGGCTGCTCAAAAAGCCACTGACCCTCTGGCAGGGGATGCTTGACAGTCTTGGCTTGTTACTCTTCTAGTAAAACTCTCATTCCAACCCCTGCTGGATAGCGGCTGTACCTATTCATGGGAAAGACCAAGGGAACAATCCCCACAGCAAATCCGGAGTCAGAGTCCATAAGTCAATCTGGTGTTGTCTTCAATACCCTTGTGGCAGCTCCTGCAATGCCTCTGATACCAATCACTACCGACTCTTGCCTTTCTCTTGGATCTATCAGCACCTGCCTATCTGGTGCTAATAAGGTGATGTTCCACCATAGTCCACCTGCTCTACAGGTGTGTGTGGCTCAGGGCTCTGACCAGCCTGACTGGGACTGTGAACCTTGCACCAGACAAGATAACAAAGAAAGGAAGAACACAAGAAGACAGCTCTTAGGCTGGCATGATGGAATGTTCACACCATGACAAACAATGAAGACGCTGTAGGAAACCTGGCACCCTGCATGAGAGAGACTACTTGTTCTTCTGGCAGGGAATGGGAGCTGATCAAACGATGACTGCAAGCAGATAGATAGATGCTTTGAGCACTACTCTGACCTCAACTCCAGGGAAACAGCATGTCTGTGCACCTGCTGGTGATTGGGGACGACCAATCATCAGTGGAGGAGATGAACAAGGCTACAGAGAGTCTATCTTGTGGGAAAGCTCCTGTTATGGATGCAATCCCTCCAGAGGCTGTCAAGTGCAGAAAGGGGGAAAGCCACCTGCATGAACGTCTGTGTCAGTGATGGGAAGAGGGAGTGGTGGCCCAGGACATGAGAGACAACTACATCCTCACCTTGTGCAGGGACACGGATGATAGAAGTGATTGTAACAATTATTGCGTGATCACTTTGCTGAGCATCGTTGGAAGGCTCTTTGCTTGCTTGGTCCTGAATGGACAACAAAAATACGCTCGCTAATAGGGTGTATCCTGCAGCGCTGTGTGGCTTCATGGCAGGACAATCCACGCCCGTCATGATCTTCTCACTTCACTCGCAATGTGCAGAGAGCATAAACAGCCACACTATGTCAGCTCACAAAAGAGAGATAGCTATTGCCAACCAACTATTGCAATTGCAATAGCTATTGTTTACTACTATTCCAATAGCTATTGCAAATAATTCAGATTTTATGAAAAATATTAACATTTGTTCCGATATTGTAGCAGCACCAAACTTCTGAGTTTCGTATACATCTATTACCTGGTAGTCGAAATGTATTTTCTTGAGTATAGTGAGCACCCAAGAATAATGTACACACCCCTCTAGTGAATGAAGTATTTTGGGAAAAAAACACATTTTTCAAGTACATGTATTATTTGAGTATAAAAGCTACATAGAATCACATCTGTAAATTCAGGTGAATGAAGTGATAACAAACTGGGTCAATAAAACTGTGAAATTTGCGATAACACATCACTAGACATGATGATTTACCATTAAAATTGCTCTTGCTTGTTCTGCTAGGCATTGTTTTAGATATAAGGATTAAGATTATAGTGTGCATATCTCGCAACCTGAGCCAGAAATAGCAATCAGCTGTACATACATTTTCTCCCAGATCTACCAGTGATTCAGTTAAAAAATACTCAATACCATAACATTTTCTGTCAACTAAACTTTGTTTCAAGGCATCAATCTGATCGTGGTTGCTGTAAATAACAGTGAGTTGGTGCGATCTGCCGATCTGTTCACACGATTTCACCGAAATTAATGTAAACACTAGTGAATGAATTTTGAATAAAATTGATAAAATAGTTTACAAACGTAAGTCCAGATATACAATGAACACTCTTTTTTTAAATATTTTTTTATTCAATTCAGTATATGATATTACAGAGTTAAACATTGAGTAGCACATCTTGCAGTATACTTATTAGGTATATGTTACATACCTATACAGCAGACAGCAATGAACACTTTATATAACCAGATAGTGTGATATAACAGGATGAAATTGTGTACAACCTACACCAAGGTTGCTGTCTACAGTCCTTTCACATGTACAGCCTGAGGAATGACTGAATCACAAACACTGAAGTTCTCTCCCACGCCACAATCCTGGGTCTCTTCACCCTGCTCCAACAGCACCAACTTCACAGGCTCGACCATCACATGGAGGATGGGCAGATCCCAACGGACTTCCTGCTCAAATCCAGCAAAACGGGAACCTGTACATCCGGCTTTAAAGAGGTCTGCAAGGGAGACTCTAGGGCATTGGACCAGAGACCATATAATCTATTATATGGTCTCTGATTGGACATAGATGTTGAGCCATGGGATGAACTAGCCGCCATCCTCCTGATGGAGGCACAAGCTCAGCAAAAGACTCAAGAGAGCCAAGGAAAAGTCGACCAAGTCGCTGAGGAAAAACAGACCTCACAGAAGAGCAGCCAGAGAACAACTCCAGGAGACTCCATCTACAAGTGCAGCCTTTCTTATGGATGCCTACACACACCAAAAAAAGAAGTAAAACAGACCTGACCATTCTGTACAGAAGATTGTATTAAAGTGTCCAGTAGAGTTTGTTTTGTTTATTTATCTTAAAAGAATAATTGGGCACCGAGACATTAAGAAACTAATGCTGATCTCAAACCAAAATCCTGTTACCCACCTAAGTCTGAAAATGAAAAAAATGTTACTCCCTAAGCTGCAGAGGTAACTGCAGTGTTATCGCTTAGCGTAACACCATTACTTATTCATTTTAGTGGTGACTCGTAATGATGTATAACAGGAGTTACGTCCCTTAGTCCATGTGCGTTTGCAATATTGCTCTTTGCTGTAACGGAACAAGTCCGATGTCTAAAGGTCAAGGTTAATAAAGCTTTTGTATAAAGCATAAACGAACTCACTCATCTGTTTGATAACAGAACAGTAACTTCCTCAAAAGAAGAGCTTTTACTTAGGTTAGGCTACATACCAGCTCCAAGAAGGGCAATTATTGACGGTAGGCTGTTCCACTTGTCCCAGAGTGAAGCTGAGCTGAATGCAGTGAGTGGGAAGGGTGGGTTGTCTAGCAAAGGGTCCATGGCTGCCACAATACGGTCCATTCTTTCTTCATAGTCACTGAAAGCCTGATTTCATGCATAAGTCCAAGAAAAGTACTCAATCAAGACAGTAAACTTTAATTCAAAATTTTGAATGTTTGTAGTGATCAGTGTTATGAACAAGGGTAATTCTTGTACCTGAGCATCTCTATGGGAGAACTGAGCAATCTGTTGTTTGTTCTTCTCATGATCTCGACTGAGCAGCAGTGACCTGGCTGTGCCATCACGACCACCAGGTGTCGCCAGGGGGGTGTAGGAGCTGGGGTCACGCAGGTACACCTTCAACCCATACTTCTGTAATAACAAATGCACAATTCCAACATTCCTCTGCATGCTTACTCTGTGCAACTGGTGCAGACTGTATTCAGCAATGTAACAATACATTGAAAAGCAAATGATACCTATTAATACCAACTTGCTGAACAATACTTCTTTTGCATGTCCTCGGATGCATGTCTTTACATGTTTTGTCTGTGGTTTAATGCCAAACTCAGCAATGTTCCAGCTCTATGACGCTGACCTGTAAATATTCAAAAGTTTGGATCAGACAATCCAGTGATTGATATTGTGAACAATGATCCCCAGTGATGCCACGCTATCATCCAAGTTACCCAGCCTGACCGGTTATGGGCCGGGAAGGCGAAAATCAATCCCTCAGAGTTAGAAATTACGTTCGCCTTCCCGGTCATCACAAAAATTCTTATTATGGCAGATGATCGCCTTCCCGGTACTTGTTAATTACAAAGAAAACACCAATGAAATGAGGACACTATTTAATCTGGACAACAAAGTCAATATATAACAAGTATAGTATAACATATCATATATCATGCATGTATTTGAAGATGTATATAGACATACATTTTATCATTTATGTAATAATTCAGTTCATTCCCAGTGCAGTAGATCTGCCATATCGTCAGTGTAGTCCATTGTTGTCGTCAATTGGTTCAACAGATCTTCTTTCAAGGCACGGAGTCTAGAGTCAATCACTCGGTATTTTCTCTTCCGAGCAGGTGCTCTTGGGTGAGCGCCTAGCTGCTCAACCCTCACTTCTGTTAGAGATTGTTCACGTTTCAGAAGATTCACTACCTCGAAGATGTTAGGGTGAGTCTTCTGGGCGCTCTTGTTCAGGTGATGATGCCATCCTTCAAGGTTGTTGTTTGTTCTGCGTCCCTGGTTTCCGAAGTGATTCCACAGGTCCTTGCTCCAAGATCCTTCTACCCATGTAGTGGTAACATAGTCCATGAAGCGCGTCACCTTGACGCCTTGAGGACTGTCTGCAATCGCATCAGCCCACACATCTTCAACCATGTCTAGTGGCACCAAGGGAAGGGCAGAAGCTCGTCTTACAACCTTCTTCACTTCTTCAACGCTAGTGTATTCTGTTGCCAGTCCTTCTTTCTGTATGCTGTTCTCTGAGTTCAATTTTTTTTATCTCTTTCTTCACTTTTCCGTCTCACAACACCCCAGTGTCCTCAATGTATAAGTGTCTGTTGTATACATAACGAGGGTACATATCACTGATCTTTTCATTCGCCTTCCCGGTCCCCAGTCCCTTACCCCTCCATTCGCCTTTCCGGTACTACTGGTAAATAGATTTTCGACTTCCCGGCCCGACACCGCCTGACCACCTGAACCGTTTGGGTCACCTCTTAACAGGTGGCTGGGGCCCTAGTCTAACCGTGAATTACATGTGTTTACATAATAGGTATGAAAGGGCAAAAGCATATCATTGCAATCACAAACATACATCCACAAAGTATTGAGGCTCTCCTGACTGTTTCCACTAGAAAATACAACACAAGGCCTATTGCACAAGCGTAACAGAAGTTTCTACTCAACATGCATAGATGCATGTGTATTCTACATTACACACTGATACAAGAGTAACAGGCTAGCAGACATCTTCCCGAGGCAAGAGAGTTAACTGACTGATCCAGTTTCCACCCTTGCCGAACTAGACTGGAATTACTGATCTCGATCGTAGCGCCACCAGTGGCTATTATCAGTTATGTCCCTTCTAAGACTCTCCTATGGAGCAATCAGATTCCACCTCTCGTATCACTTGCGTTTGCTTCACACAAAATGTTGGCGCCCAGTCAGGACGATCTGATCGATAATCAAGATCTATATTGTGATAAACCGGGTCTTACAGCACGAAATGCATCAAATCACGTGAGCACCTTGATTAAAAACATGAAAAGATTTGGAAAATATCTGCTGACAACGAGTTGGCGGTGCACATGCTTTGCAAATCCTGCAATGGACTGAAATCTGCACGACAGTTTACGAACCGGATTTCGATTTTGGTGTGTGATTTTGATTGGACTATGCATAGACTCGTTAGTCCAGCCAAAATGTAACTCCATAATACCAGCCAAGTATGGCAAGGGTGGACACTGGACTTTTATAGTCAGTTAACACTCTTGCCACGGGAAGATGGCTAGCAGAGTGACATTGTACCAGTTTGGAATACGAACACGATGTGCCAAGTATAACAATACACAACAAGATATAAGAAATGTCATTGGCCATGCTATACTGTAAAATACCAAACATCAACATTTCATAACGATATAAAAAGAAACATCCAATAAATGGACAAATGTGACTTTCTATGTTAGGCTATATTGACGATCTTCTCAAGAATGGGATTAGAATTCTGTGAACAAGTTTTAGACAATGAATTTCAGCTTCGTTGACCCATAGAGTTCAGAGCAGATGCTCAAACAGTCAAGCCACATCACCTGTGGTCGGTGAAGAGCAAGGCCACTGAAACATGGCTAAGTGAAAGTTTTAAGGTCATACAGCTGGGTAAGAAATCAAAGTACGCAAAAACTTATTATATATTATTCTACATTCAACATACCGGTATTACACATCAAATTTTATGATTCATGCAACTGTAGGCATGTAAAGGACAGAAATGAGAGTTGAAATTAGGCAGCTGGATATGTTAACAATTGGATTAGAATTCTGTGAGCACTTTTTAGAATATTTCTATCACAATATAGCCACTGTGTGTTGCAATATGTATCATAATACACTATCTGGCACTACTCTGCCCTGACTGATGTATGGACATACAATGAGGACATGACTGTACAACATTATTCACAAGTTTAGATAGGAAAATTCCTCACCTTAAGCTGCAAATCCTTGACTATCTGGGGACGTAACAAGCTCAAAACATAAGACGCCCTGGAAAACTTGAAACCTGAAACATTGTATGTATATATGTGTCAAAGTGATATGGACATATGTCTTTAATACCTGGCAATATGCCAATATGTAAAACTTTGATTTTTTGTCTACTATTGTGAGTGAATGAGTGGGCTGCATGTGTTTGTTTGTTTGTTTGTTTGTTTAATGCTCCAGCTATATGACGGCGGTCTTTTAATAATCAAATCTGGACCAGACAATCAAGTGATTGACATCATGAGCACTGATCCATGCAATTGGGATACGATGACATGCATCAACCAAGTCAGCGAGCCTGACCACACGATCCCATTAGTCGCCTCTTACGACAAGCATAGTCACCTTCTACCCCAGATCTTCACGGGTCGGGCTGCATGTGATTGTTAGCCACACTTCAGCCAGGCCACTGTGGTAGTGCTAACCTCTCACACCTGGAGCATGACTCCCTAGGGTCAGCACTGAGACAGCCAGGCCACTGTGATAGTGCTAACCTCTCACACCTGGAGCATGACTCCCTAGGGTCAGCACTGAGACAGCCAGGCCACTGTGGTAGTGCTAACCACTCACACCTGGAGCATTACTCCCTAGGGTCAGCACTGACACAGCCAGGCCACTGTGATAGTGCTAACCTCTCACACCTGGAGCATGACTCCCTAGGGTCAGCACTGAGACAGCCAGGCCACTGTGGTAGTGCTAACCACTCACACCTGGAGCATTACTCCCTAGGGTCAGCACTGACACAGCCAGGCCACTGTGGTAGTGCTAACCACTCACACCTGAAGCATTACTCCCTAGGGTCAGCACTGAGACAGCCAGGCCACTGTGGTAGTTTCTAACCAGTCACACCTGGAGTATTATTCCCTAGGGTCAGCACTGACACAGCCAGGCCACTGTGGTAGTGCTAACCTCTCACACCTGGAGCATTACTCCCTAGGGTCAGCACTGAGACAGCCAGGCCACTGTGGTAGTTTCTAACCAGTCACACCTGGAGTATTATTCCCTAGGGTCAGCACTGACACAGCCAGGCCACTGTGGTAGTTTCTAACCAGTCACACCTGGAGTATTATTCCCTAGGGTCAGCACTGACACAGCCAGGCCACTGTGATAGTGCTAACCACTCACACCTGGAGCATTACTCCCTAGGGTCAGCACTGAGACAGCCAGGCCACTGTGGTAGTTTCTAACTGGTCACACCTGGAGTATTATTCCCTAGGGTCAGCACTGACACAGCCAGGCCACTGTGATAGTGCTAACCACTCACACCTGGAGCATTATTCCTTAGGGTCAGCACTGAGACAGCCAGGCCACTGTGGTAGTGCTAACCACTCACACCTGGAGCATGACTTTCTAGGGTCAGAACTGAGACAGCCAGGCAGTCTGTAGGGCCTTACACAATGCACTACAACACACTGTCAGCATCTGGTGTAAAGGTGACTGCACTACCGCTGTGAGCAGACCTGGGATAATTTCCTCTGTAACTGCAGCGCCACCTATGATGTGTCTCCGCTCCACCACACACACATCAAGTCCTGCCTTCTGTAGGTAGGCTGCCTGTCAACATAACAGCAATGCTGTAATACTTGTCACAACACTCACCAAACAGCAGTCCTCTAATACTTGTCACTGCACACATCAAACAGCAGTCCTCTAATACTTGTCACAACACTCACCAAACAGCAGTCCTCTAATACTTGTCACTGCACACATCAAACAGCAGTCCTCTAATACTTGTCACTGCACACACCAAACAGCAGTCCTCTAATACTTGTCACTGCACACACCAAACAGCAGTCCTCTAATACTTGTCACTGCACACATCAATCAGCAATCCTCTAATACTTGTCACTGCACACATCAAACAGCAGTCATCTAATACTTGTCACAACACACACCAAACAGCAATGCTCTAATACTTGTCACTGCACACATCAATCAGCAGTCCTCTAATACTTGTCACTGCACACATCAATCAGCAGTCCTCTAATACTTGTCACTGCACACATCAAACAGCAGTCCTCTAATACTTGTCACTGCACACATCAATCAGCAGTCCTCTAATACTTGTCACAACACACACCAAACAGCAGTACTGCAATACTTGTCACAACACACACCAAACAGCAGCCCTATAATACTTGTCACAACACACATCAAACAGCAGTACTGCAATACTTGTCACAACACACACCAAACAGCAGTACTGCAATACTTGTCACAACACACACCAAACAGCAGCCCTATAATACTTGTCACAACACACACCAAACAGCAGTACTGCAATACTTGTCACAACACACACCGAACAGCAGTGTTCTAATACTTGTCACAACACACATCAAACAGCGGTGCTGCAATTCTTGTCACAACACACACCAAACAATGGTACTGCAATACTAGTCACAACACACACCAAACAGCAGTGCTACAATACTTGTAACAACACAAATCAAACAGCAGTACTGCAATACTTGTCACAACACACATCAAACAGCACTACTGAAATACTTGTCACAACACACACCAAACAGCAGTACTGCAATACTTGTTCCAGCAAAACCCATAGAATCCACCAAGACACCTCGTCTGACCATCCGATCCAAGTTAACCTCCTGTCACAAGTGCCCTATTCTAACCCGGGTCCCAACAGGTGACTGGTTCCATGATGTACATTACAAGATGGTGTAACTACTGTACATGGTGATGCTCTATCCCACTCTAGACTATACTTACCGACACCAGTCCATTGTGGCCTGGAAAATAATCGATAGGACATACATATGTAAATAGATTTATTAAAAAAGAATGCACATATATAAATGACTATCATGTTATCGAAATATTTACTGTTATGTATAAGAATCTAAGATGTTTAAAAATTATTAAACTATTATTGTCAAAATTATTCTTTTATTCACAGTAGTCATATGACAAAATCTGTCCAAGAATGCAATATGCTATACAATATACTGCATGACCTGCATGATATTACAGTTAAAGCAGTCTCATACCTGCACCAATCACAACCGCATCGTAGTGGGACTTGAGGCTGTTAGTGTGGGTTGACCGTTGTCCACCGCTGGAGAAACTGTCCACAAACAGCTTTCCACCTGAACCTCTCTCCAACAACTGACCACAGGTGACAACACCCCTCTCCAACAACTGACCACAGGTGACCACACCCCTCCCTGTCCCCCTCAGTTGGCCTACTGTCCTGCACAGCATATTGCATGTGTGGTGTGAAGCCCTGGAAGTTGCCCTTGTGACCCTGCTGGGAGCTGACAGTTGGGCTGATCATCAAGTTGACCCTGAACGTGCCAACACATACACGACCTACATAGATGGTTACAGATACAGGCACTATTATCTACTAGAACTGGCACTTATCTAACAATGTGTCTGAAGCACTGACATATGCACTGATACAATTAACTGGGAGTTTAATAGCAAATGAGTTAAAGTAAAACATGTTATAAAGTGATATAATTCATGAGATTAAATATGGTATGTCTTAGTAGTAGTAGCAGTAGTAGTAGTAGTAGTAGTAGTAGTAGTAGTAGTAGTAGTAGTAGTAGTGGGAAGCTTGTTGAGCCCATCTTCCCAAAGCAAGGGAGTTAACTGTAAAAGTCCAGTTTCCACCCTTGCCGACCAAGGCTGGGATTATAGAGTTACATGTTGGCTAGAGTAATGGGTCTTGTATAATGCATAATCCAATCAAAATCGCATAACAAACTAGACATCTGGTTCAGAAACAACATGGATTTCAATGTGCAGATTTCAGTCAACTGCAAGATTTGAAAAACATGCCTACAGTCACCTGGCCGATAGCAGATATATAGCAAATCTTTTTGTTTGTGTTTTTTTGTTTTTAATCAAGGTTCGCAAGTGAATTGATGCACTTTGCAGGGTAAGACCCGTTTTATTACAATAGAGATCTTGATTATCAATCAAATCATTTTGTATGGACACCGTCAGTTCGTTAAATAGCCACTGATGTCGCTACGATCGAGCCCAGAAATTCAACAAATGAAAACACAAAATAATAATATTACTAAATCGTTGACTGTCAAACATATTTATCATAATTGACTTGAGATATTATACTCTGGTTAATCAATGTTCAGTGTATTAAAAAAATAAAATAAGTGAAATTATCATCTGGTTCTGAAGCAGTTTTGAAAATCATCTTTTTGTCTGGACTTTTCAGGTAACAACTGTACAGTAATGAAATATTGGTTATTTCTTAATCTTATCTTTTCAGAAGCTTTACTTGCATTGCAGGTTCACAGATCATCTACAGCTAAACTCGTTCCCAGGTCTGTCAGCAGGATGTCAGTACACAGTCCTGACAGAATAACCCTATTGTGACCTCAAATAAACAAGCTCAGTGCTTAAAATGGTGTTTTAAATGATGGCCTATACCAGAAGTATGATTCCCCAGATACAATACATGTGTATATATACTCAGCACTAATGATTTCCCCAGATACAATACATTTTTAAACATACTCAGCACTCATGATTTCCCCAGATACAATATATGTGTATATATACTCAGCACTTATGATTTCCCCAGATACAATACATGTGTATATATACTCAGCACTAATGATTTCCCCAGATACAATACATGTATAAACATACTCAGCACTCATGATTTCCCCAGATACAATATATGTGTATATATACTCAGCACTCATGATTTCCCCAGATACAATACATGTGTATATATACTCAGCACTCATGATTTCCCCAGATACAATATATGTGTATATATACTCAGCACTCATGATTTCCCCAGATACAATACATGTGTATATATACTCAGCGCTCATGATTTCCCCAGATACAATACATGTATAAACATACTCAGCACTCATGATTTCCCCAGATACAATATATGTGTATATATACTCAGCACTCATGATTTCCCCAGATACAATATATGTGTATATATACTCAGCACTCATGATTTCCCCAGATACAATACATGTGTATATATACTCAGCACTCATGATTTCCCCAGATACAATATATGTGTATATATACTCAGCACTAATGATTTCCCCAGATACAATACATGTGTATATATACTCAGCACTCATGATTTCCCAAGATACATGTGTATATATACTCAGCACTCATGATTTCCCCAGATACAATATATGTGTATATATACTCAGCACTTATGATTTCCCCAGATACAATACATGTGTATATATACTCAGCACTTATGATTTCCCCAGATACAATACATGTGTATATATACTCAGCACTCATGATTTCCCCAGATACAATACATGTGTATATATACTCAGCACTCATGATTTCCCCAGATACATTATATGTGTATATATACTCAGCACTCATGATTTCCCCAGATACATGTGTATATATACTCAGCACTCATGATTTCCCCAGATACATGTATATATATACTCAGCACTCACGATTTCCCCAGATACAATACATGTATAAACATACTCAGCACTCATGATTTCGCCAGATACAATACATGTGTATATATACTCAGCACTCATGATTTCCCCAGATACATGTGTATATATACTCAGCACTCATGAGTTCCCTAGATACAATACATGTGTATATATACTCAGCACTCATGATTTCCCCAGATACATGTGTATATATACTCAGCACTCATGATTTCCCCAGATACAATACATGTGTATATATACTCAGCACTAATGATTTCCCCTGATACATGTGTATATATATATATACTCAGCACTAATGATTTCCCCAGATACAATACATGTGTATATATATACTCAGCACTAATGATTTCCCCAGATACAATACATGTATATATATATACTCAGCACTAATGATTTCTCAAGATACATGTGTATATATACTCAGCACTAAATATTTCCCCAGATACAATACATGTGTATATATACTCAGCACTAATGATTTCCCCAGATACAGTACATGTACCATATTTTCATTAGTAATGATTTCCCCAGAAGTAGTATAGACCGTGGTGATTCTGGCTCACTTCCACTGGAGCCAGATTTATATACCTATACTGCTACAACAGAGGGAATCTTTATGTATAAATGATGATGCGATTCAACGATCGTCATGAGTCGTATGAAAAGAATCATCAATATTAATTAATAATGGATAAAATTTACTATAGCCCACGAGGATATTGGAAAGGTATAGGAGCAATACAAAAATTGGCCACTGCGGCTAAGGTATCTAAAGATGTGGCCAAGGATTGGCTAAAGAAACAAGCGATGTGGCAAATATATTTACCGGCACCGCGTTAAAAAGAGGCCCACCGTAGTCAAGCTATCGTTGAAAGGTTTAACCGGACATTAGTGGAACGAAATGAAATCGGAACGATTAAGATCAACCGAATGGGT